ACCTGACTTGGTTTCCTCTAGGAGATCTCACATCCATATCCTATCCATATACCTGACATAGATATCTCCACTAAATATCTGCTATTTGCAGTCGAAAAAGGTTTTACAGACATCCTGAATGTTTCACTTATAGGATACCTTCCCATATCCCATATCCCTGCCAAATCTGTAAAGATATCGCAAAGATCGGCTCATTAACACCTGAGTTAATCAAGAAAGAAGTAAAGTCTAGCCAAAGATCCCAGCTAGTTTCCAAACATATTCTATGCATAAAATCAAAATCAAAATCACGCAAACAATTTACTTAAAATATCTGCTCGGGTATTTAATGTACTGCAGGCCCGTTGATAGCACTTTGATACCAATTTATTTTATTATTTCATTTTTTTTTTGTTTGTTCCGTTCGCCAATATGATTGCGTACATTGTACAGTGAAGCCTGTCCGCGAAGTCTGCATCAGTAAACAGCGCACGTAGCTCATGAGGCGAACGTTTTTTTGTTTTTTTTTCTTGCTTTGCTTTTGTCTTGCGCGCAGCAGCTGGCAGCCAGCCAATGGGCGGCATTCGCGCACACACACACACACACATACGCACACGCACGCACACACACATACGGCGGCACACGCACGTACGCACGCACGCACACACTGTGAGCCGGGGTATGCACTTTTTGCGCGTCTCAAAAATTGTTATTGCACATTTAAAGGCGTCATTATTAGCGCTACATGGAGGCACTAATAATTGTTTGCATTTCAAATGGAAGCGCCTCGCTAATTGGGCCAACAACTGGGCCCAAAGCAGTTGTTGCTGCTGCAGTTGTTGCTGCTGCTGCTGCAAGCACTTGGGTTTTGTTATCACATAAATTGTGCGCACAAATCTTGATCTGCAAATCATTTTCGACAACTTTACGGCGCACGGCGCACTCACAGAATGAGCGCGTGAATAACGTGAATAACTTTTGAATATGCACGCGTGCGTGTTGCCCATTTAGCTGTTTTATAGCCAAACGTAGCTATTTTCAGCCGTTAACAAGTACGAGCAGCTCTGCATATTCACAATTTGTGCTCAGAACGCGAATTTAGCCATTTGGAATATATTTCTGAAAGCGGCAGCTGGTAACACTGAAACCAAAGACAATTAACTGCCGTAACAGTTATTTCTTAACGCGGCAGCTGGCAACGCTCTACTCAACGATTGTTGAATATTATTTACAGCTATTTTGCCTTTTTGAAGCGGCAGTTGGCAACACTGTTCGCTTGGGCTACGTTATCTTTTGCTTAGATCTGCACAAATACACGCCGCACACACACACACACACACACGCGCTCGGACACAACTTTGTTGGCCACGTTTCCTGTCGGTTGTTGGTTGCATCACTTTGCCTTCTCCTACAAAAATATTGAATTATTTACGCAGCCAACTAAGCTGACATTTAATTTAAGTGCCAACACCAGGTAAAGACTCCAGTCTCTGACTAGCGCGACTCGAGACTCCAATTCTGGCCAAGAACTGTCTGCGCTTCAAAATTTATACGCACAGCGCCTGGCAGCTAATGAAATTTATGCATTTATGCCAACTGGCTTAATGTGGAGGATGTTGACGACAACTTGGACGCCGACGCGGATGCCATGATCCATGTTAATGTCCATCAAATAATGTGGCCCAGGCTGTCAATTCGATTGTTGGACATGTCCAAGCCTGAGCCGCTGCCGCTGCTGCCGTCGCTGCATTGAGATCAATTTGCAATTAGCCGCACTTGCAACGGATATGGCCAACGTTTCGGGATGTGGTCCATCGATGTGGTGGATGCCCTGCGCGCAATAGCGACACTTGCCAGCTGAGCCCGTTTCCCGTGAGAAATTTCAATTATTTTAATTAGCGTTGCGATCGCCGCGCGGCTGCTTTATTAGGCGACGACAACAACAACAGCAACAACAACAACAACAACGACAACGTTGAAGGCGATGTTAGCGCGTCTGCGTCTGCGTTGAGTCTGTGACTGCGTCTTGGAGTTGCCGCGCTTAAGCGCCCCTCCGCTGCCAATTTCCGCTGTCGACGCCGACGTCGCTGCCGCAGCGCTGCGCTGCGCTCGCATGGAATGCAAGCTGATAGCAGTGTCAGAACAGGATTCTGGATAGCTTGTTGCCGCAGTCAACGCTGCCGCCGTGCAACGCCGCCTAATGACATGTTTTGGATAATGATGACGGGCAACGGATTGTGTCTGTGTATGTACGTGTGTGTGTGCCTGTAGAGTTTTGGCTTTCCAGTTGGATGGCTGTTGGAATGGCGATAATGACTGGAAACTTAATTGAAATTGATGAGAGACTGGCCATTTGGAAAATCGCGTACAAAGTTGCCAACGTTTTGGCCCAAGCAAATCAATCTGCATGCCAGACCGCGGCCTCTATGTGTTTGTCAAGCCAATGGACCACCCGGCGGCTGAATATATTTAAATAAAATAAAAATATAAAAAGAGTTTTGTCCTCGCTGAGTGACTGACTGATTGGTGGTAGCTTTCTTTTGCTTGGCAAGTGTGCACGAACTACGCAGGGGTGGGCGGGAGAGGGGGGATGGAAAACAACAACAACAAAGACTGCATAGACTGGAGTGTATTTAACAGAAATTTAGTATGTTATCGCGTTCTGTTAACGCTTTGACATACGAATTTCTAACAGTAACTGCTAAACATTGACTGGAATATATTTAACAGAATTTTTAAATGTTATCGCTTTCTGTTAACGCGTTAACACAAGAGCTGCTGATGTCATGAGCCTGCGTGTGGTGGTCGCCGGTTCAAATCCAGCGTTTATTTTCATTATTCCTAGTTATTTTATCCATTTTCTTATGTAAGTATATTTCTAAGTATTCTCCAAAGCTGGCACAACAATTTCAGGTGCTTTATAATTGGCCGCTGCGGTGTCAATTGCAGCGCCAGCGCCAGCTCCAATGGTCAATTAAACAAGCTGCCTACGCCGCCTGCACCAGCAGCAGCCGCAGCAGCAGCCGTAGCTGAGGCAGCCGCGGCTCCCCTGGGAGCTGGCAAATGTGACTTGCTGCTGGTGCGTAGTGAAGCCGCCTGCTGTGCACGGGAATGCCAATTTCAGCAATTAACAACAATGGCCATAAATGCGTGAAACGCATAAACTGACTGCAAAGTGGGTGCAAGAGAGACGGACAGAAAGAGCGAGAGGAATAGCAAAAGATTGGGATGCGATACAGCTACACATTCAGCCGGCGGATTATTATTATTGAAATAGCAACTGGCGCTCACAGTGGAGCCTAACTGCTGACACGATCTTGAATTTAAATCTGGGCCCCATGTTCGGCTCTCGCACACGCCGCCATTTTGTTTGGCCAGGTAAAAGTAAGCGGTAGCTGGGCTCCGCAGCGGTTAGGGCGACCAATGACCGAGGCAAAGGCCAATGGCGCACATTAATCAAGCGATCATATTCATATATATTGGCCATTGTTTATGCAATTATTAGGATAAATAAATGAAAATCTGCTAACGCTAGCTGAACGACAAAGCAATGCCCTGTAAAGCAACTAAATTTTAAGGTCTTAAGTTGTATAAATAGAGTATTTAATATAATGAGAAATATTGGAATATATTTAGCAGAACCTAAGTATGTTATCACGTTCTGTTAACACTCTTACATACGAATTGCTAACGGCAGCTGCTTAACATACATTAGAATGTGTTTAACAGAACATAAGTATGTTATCACATTCTGTTAACAATTAACATACGAGCTGCTAACGGTAGCTGCTTAACAGAGATCCCAATGTTATCTGAGCCTCGCATAAGTGCAAGCACTATGCATACCCTATGCAATTGAATTACTGTGTATCTGCAGCAATAAATTGCTCCACAAATCTTTTGGTGTTTGCCCTTTGGCTGAAATTGAAACTGAAACTTCGTTTCGGTGTATTTCGGCTTCTACTTCATTATTATTTTTTATTCAAGGCGCTGCAATCGAAAGCCAAGTTCAATGACTCGATAAAAAAGCAAAACTGAGATATTGTTGAAAGTGTCTAAAGCTGTGAATGGGGCTGTCTGTCTGTCTGTCTGTAGGTACTGATATAAATTAGCATGTTTTCAAGATGTGTTTGGCCTTGATTCAGTTTCGGTTACGGCTAGGCAAATGAACTATTTAACACTCATTTAAAATGTTACCTGTCAGCGGATTGTTTAACCTGAGTTGAGCCAACTTTGATAGGGCCTTTGGGCAACGGCAACGGTCAGCGGACAGTCATTTCCTGTATATCCAGCATGTTCCATATAGACAAGAGTCAAACAAAGAAAAACAGTGGCAAAATGTACAATTTGATAGACACCGATATTCCCAGTCATTTCGTGAAAATGTGTTACAAATGCAGTCAGAGCAGAATTCGGAAACAGACACGTTCGGCACATAAACAAGTTTGATTATTACGAAACATGGGGCGTTGAAATTAAAAAAAAAAACGAGAAGAAAAATTGAAGACATCGGCAAAGCGCACCTGTACAACTGAATTATTTGCACCTTATCAAATAAAATACACAGAGCACATCTAGCATGAATCGCACAGACCAAATTAGAATATCTATCTAACGTTTCGGATCGTAAACAACTCTGCCCACAGTTCGATATATACGCTATGTACATATATTGTGAATGCCATAGTTTATGATAGCTTCTCAGTTTTCGAAATCGAAATCGAAATGCGAAATTTTCGAAATTAACGCGATTTTGGCACGTCAAAAACTCAACTTAAACGCGTTCCAAGCCAGATCCCCGCAACAACAACAACAGCAGCAGCAACAACAACAACACAAGAAGAAGAAGAACAAGAGCGCAAAGCCGAGCCGAGGGCCGACGCACGTCTCGCATTGGGGGGCTGCAGCTCGTGTTGCGGGCTTTCGCTTTCAGTTGCTGCTCGTTGCTGCGTCCGATTGGTGTTGCTTTTATTCGCTGTCCGTCGCTGTTCGCCGTTCGCCGTTTCGCCGTTTCGCCCTCTGTCGCTGTTCGCCGTGCTCGCTCTTCGCTGTAAATGCTTAACGTGCTGTCGCAAAGCCAACGGTAAAACGCTCAACTGTTATCGATAACTCGGCACAAATCGATAGTGCAACAGTTTTGGAAAATGTGTCAATAGTTGTTAAGCCAGTGTTGTCTGAAATGAATAACGCTTCGCCTGCGCAGGACAATCATCGCGGTTCGGTGTCCTCCAACAAATCACTGGACATACCCATAACACCGTCGCGCTCACCCAAAAAGGTCTCCTTCTCCGACGAGCTGCCCGGCGGCAGCAGCCACAGCAGCTCGGAGCCAAGCGGTGTCAGCCATGTGCTGCAGCAGGCTGTCCAGTATCTGGAGCGTTTGCACGGCGCACGCGAATATCCCGCCGAGGATGCTGTCAGCGTTGAGCAACAGCTGCCGCCACCCGCTGTGCTGGACCTGGATGCCCAATCCGTGCAGCTGAGTGTGGTAGGCGCCGCCGCCGTTGCCGCCGCCTCGCCCAGCATACTGATTGCGGAACCAGGTGACGCTGCCAATGATTACGCCAATGGCAAGCAGGAAGTGCCGTATGAGCCGCAATCGCATTTGTACATGGAGCGATACAAGCTTAATTTAGATAAGAACTGCAGCTCCATGGAGCTGGAGGCGCGACGCGAAAAACAACGCTGGCTCTTGATATCGGAGTGCAGCGCCCGCTTTGGCGAGGGGAAACACACACGTGAGGCATTCCGCAAGCTATTCCTAGATGAGGTAAGTTTAGCTACAATGAAGATGCATTAATTACTCTCCAATATACGAGTTGTCGATATGCAAACGAGCTTGAACTTTAAAGTAAACTTTAACTACAGTGAAAACTCGAATAATGGACAGCTTACTGGGCTGAATAACTCTCTTTGTATTCTCAATATTTGAAGGACAACTTTTTCGACGAAAGCTCCTATTTATATAGAAAAAAAAGTATTGCTTGATCGTACCCAAAACTTTGTGAACTATCAAAAATGCATTCTTGATTATTTTCGGTGTTTATAATCCGATCTTTTTTTTAATATTAAAGGTTCTAATATGGCATACAAAAGTTCTAAGCTCAAAAAATCCGGTTATTTTCTTAATCTTAAGTAATCTGTGAAGTATCTAACAAGGATCTATAAACCAAATTCGAAATGGAAGAATCTCGATATAACTTCTTATCGATTGCTTAGAAACGGCGCAAGTTATCGAACATTAAATTGTTATCGATTGTTTAGAAACGGCGCAAGTTATCGAACATTCAATTTTTATCGATTGCTTAGAAACGGCGCAAGTTACTCGATCTGTGCTGGGCCTAATACAAAATTTCGTATATCTAGATCCTAAAGGGCCTGAGATCTTAGGGACCTGGCTTGATCACATTTTGTTAAGTTTTCGTTTTGTTAGCATAGAAATTGGCAGCTGTGAATGGTTCCGCTTATTAAAGTTCAATATGCGTATTGCATTTTATAGCCAGTGTTAAGCAACGCATTTGCGAACAGTTCGGATATATTGTTAGAAAACTATTAAACCCTTATTTTGACCCACATTCAGAGCATAAAACACATATTAATACGTTCTAAAATTGCCAATTTCGTTGATTTATGATTAAGTTGGAAATATATAGAAATTGGGTTAAATATAAATGGAAAATAAAAGCTAAATAAAATTTTTCGTTTTCTTTGGAACTGATTCGAAAAATTTGAATAAAAATTCCCTTTAAAATATCAACAAAATTTTCTTAAGTTTTTCTCATCTGTTAACTGAGTTTTTTGCTGTTTTCTTTGTGACTAAAAGTTAATAAATATTTCCTTTGAAAGATCAACAAAATTTTCCTACATTTTTCTGTGTTTTGTTTCCCCTTTTCTTTTTGAACTTTTTTGAAGAGAAGAAACTGGTACTGTAGGGTTTGCGTTCACGAGAGCTTTTACTGTGTGTGTGTGTGTGTGTGTATGTTTGTGTGCTTATATATGTGTGTGTGTGTGTGTGTTTGTGTGTGTGTTGACCTTGTGCTACATATTTTGTGGTCCTTTACCCGCTGCTAAATATTAAACTGGTTTATTTTTTTGTTCGGTTTTTTGATTTATGCTGTTTGTTGTGTTTCCCCCCTCCCTATAACTCTCACTCTCCCTCTCTCTCTCTCTCTCTCTCTCTCTCCCTCACTCTCCCTCTCTCTCTCGCTCTGTTTTTTTATGGGCCCCAAGAAAGCTGTTGAACCAGTCGCCGGCCCAAACTCGCCTGCTCATCTGTTAAATATGCACATTTATTCATCGGGCTGGGCCAGTTCGGGCCTGGCCAATGCAAACAAGCCAAGAGGAAAAGAAAAAAAATGAAATTAACAAATATCGTGAGATTGAATGTCATTAAAATATTAATAAGCATTTAATTAATGCCCAACAGCCGAGAGATGGCGAGAATTAGAATTCGCTTTGATTATGTTCTGCAGCGCATAAATCGGCGGGCCTGTAAACAAATGTGTTTACTCAAGCACATTGTTTGCATTTAGTTTGTATTCTATCAATTAGTTAGCGAACATATAAATTGTATTTCTTTACAACTGGCTAATTGGTTTTATTTCGTTTTTTTTTTACAGGAATTTCAGCAGAAACTCTTTCAATTGTTCGATCTGGAGCGCAATGGATATTTGTTGCAAGATCGCTGGATCGAGCATCTCAAGGGGCGACTCACGTAAGTGCAGGTTCCAGCTGAAGCTGTTGCCCTTGGTATACCCTGTAGCCTGTTCATGTGTGCCAAAGGGGTATATTAGGGCGGCAGTTCGTCGTCGTCTGATCAGATTTCTCTCAAATTATCGACAGCGCTAGCTACATTTCCCAGAAATCGATAAATATCGATTACCAGCTACACGCTTGTGAGCATATCGCGAAGACTATGCGGCCTATAGACACCAAATTTGGTCTAGCTGTTTCCCTGTTCAATTATAATTCTTTTCTAAGATATCTCCGCCGAAACGTGTTTAACTTAAACAAATTGTCAAACCCATAGATCTAATTTTTAAGTGCTAAAAGTCTAAAAAAAAAACTCAGCAATTTAAAACAAAAGTTATAAAAGAATGAATCATTGAAGGGATTTGGAAACGAGCGAAGAAAGCGGCAACTGTCTACAGGGCATCTGCTAGTCGTGCATTCTCCAATGAAAATTTACTTGTTTTTTTTTTTGGCTCAGCAAATTAAAACAAAAGTTATAAAAGAATGTGGAACCAAGAGAAGAAAAAGGCTAGTAACTACAGGGCATCTCCAAGTCGTGCCAGATGTGTGAAGCGAGCAAAGAAAAAGGGCAGAACTGCCCACAGGGCAACTGCTAGTCGTGCATGCTCGACTCTAGAAAATATACTTGCTGATTTTTCTCTGGCTCTTCATTTGCCTGATATTCCTTTTGCTTGTGCTGAAAGCGGTGCCAAAACAATTAGCCCGCTGCCAGTAAAAAGCTGTCTCAGTCCGCCATCTCGCGCTGCCTAGCGCTCTGCTCTCACCTGTCCCCAGCACGCACACCCAACCAACTAACTAACTAACCCAACCTGGCTCTGCCTGGCTCTGCCTGGCATTCCAGCTGCGTCAGCCAAATGCCAGCGCTGCACTTTGCACGCCAACGGCGCGACGCGGCGATGCCATCGCCGATGGTGATGCTATCTGTGTTGTATGTTAACATATACAACAGCTAACATAGTCCGCGTGCTCCGCTGCCCCCCACCCGATCCTCTGTCACTTGGCCGGCTGTCGTAATGAAGTCATTCAAATACAAATATAGCGTGTCGGGCGCGGGAGGCTGCAGACGTAGCTGAATCTGGAGCTGGAGCTGGAGCTGGAGCATTGTGGCTTGTTGCCAGTAATGGCAATCGTAATGTTAATACTTGGCTTGGTCTCTTTTTTTTTTTTCTTTTTGCCTCGCAGCGACGATCGCCAAATGGACTTTGCGGAGCAAATTGAATCTGTGGCCTATGTCATCTGCGGCGAGAAGAGCCAAGTCAGCTTTAAGAACTTTCGCGATATCTGGCATACGCGAGGGGTAAGCACATCGCCTGATTTATATAACCCAAGTGCGCCTATTTAATCGGAGCTATTTGCAGATTCTGGATAAGCTCTATCGCCTCATCGACGTCGATGGCACCAATCTAATCTCAACGAACCAGGTCATGGAGTTTATATCGCATCTAACCAACTCCAGGTAAGCTATATGGCGAGTAAACTATCTCTATAAAGGAGTCTGAACACATCTTACATGCTTTCAAATGGGGTTAGGCTACAGCCTAGGCGGTCTACCTATGTTCATTCAATTTGCTTTTATATACTCTCAGTGTACTCAGGTATTATCAGTGGAATCCATGTGAACTCAGGAACTATAAAAGCTTTGGCTTGGGAGAGCCTACCTACTAAATTTCATGGCTCTAACTCTTACAGTCCCTGAGTTCATTGAGGTCATGTCAATAATATCTCAGAGAACTCAGGAACTATAGGAGCTAAGGCTTAGGAGAGCCTTGATATTCAATTTCATGTCTCTAACTCTTATATTTCCAGAGTTCATTGAGGTCACATCGATTACATCTCAGTTAACTCAGAGACTGTAAGAGCTAAGGCTTAGAAGATCCTAGATATTAAATTGCATTGCTCTAACTCTTATACTATCGGAGTTCACTGAGGTCATATCGATATTATCTCAGTCAACTCAGAGACTACAGGAGCTAAGGCTTAGGAGAGCCTTGATATTCAATTTCATGGCTCTAACTCTTATATTTCCAGAGTTCAGTGAGGTCACATCGATTACATCTCAGTTAACTCAGAGACTGTAGGAGCTAAGGCTTAGAAGATCCTAGATATTAAATTGCATTGCTCCAACTCTTATACTACCTGAGTTCACTGAGGTCATGTCACTAACATCTCAGAGAACTCAGGAACTATAGGTGCTAAGGCTTAGGAGAGCCTAGATATTCAATTTCATGGCTCTAACTCTTATAGTCCCTGAGTTCACTGAGGTCATATCAATAATATCTCAGTAAACTTAGAAACTAAAAGAGCTATGACTTAGCAGGCCTACATACCTAATCTCATAAGATCTTCCAAGCTAGAACCAAGTTCCTATGCATTCCAGTTAAGAATATTGCTTCCACTTTCACATATTTTAAGAAAATACAACCTTTCAATCTATCAAGAACAATAATACTCTTTGCTTCTGTTTCGTAGACCCCGCACGGGCTTTGACAAGAGCTCGTTGGCGCGCTTGGAGCAGCTCTTTCGTAATACTGTGGGCAACGAGCAGGAGATACGACGCGAGGAGTTCCAAAAAATAGTCACATCTAAGAATGTAAGTCAAATAAACCTAGTTAAGTTGCATTTGAGTTAGTTGTATGCCATTATTTCCAGCCCTTTTTTACGGAACGCGTTTTTCAAATATTCGACAAGGATAATTCGGGCTCAATATCGCTGCAGGAGTTTATAGATGCCATACATCAGTTCTCGGGGCAATCGGCCGATGACAAGATACGTTTCCTCTTCAAGGTCTACGATATTGATGGTCTGTGCCAGATAATTCCAGAGAGATTCCTTGACTAATGCCCATTCATGTGTTCCAGGTGATGGTCTCATACAGCATAAGGAGCTGCACGATGTGATACGGCATTGCATCAAGGAGAACGGCATGGAGTTCTCCGAGGATCAAATCGAGGATCTAACCAGCGCCATGTTCGAGGATGCCGATCCGCACAACAGCGGTGAGATTACCTACGAGGCGCTCAAGAATCAGCTGCACAAGCACGGCGGTCTGCTCGAGAATCTCAGCATTACGTAAGCACATTTCCACATCCCTTTTAGTCCAATATGTATATCCTTTTATTCCTGGCAGCATTGATCGCTGGCTGGTGCCCATTGCAGAGGAGCCGCCGTCTGGCAGCAAATCCTCGCGACTGTGGCACACAATACCTCACCAGCTGACGCTGGCCTATATGAAGAACAACCAGGTGTTTGTCTCATATTTATTCTTCTACATTGCCGTCAATCTGTGCCTGTTCATCTCCCGTGCCATACAGTATCGCGCCAGCAATGGCTTTGTGATCATAGCCAGAGCTTGTGGTGAGTACGAGATTATGAAGCAGCTGTTCCACGTTTCTTAGGAGAACCATAGATATCGAATCGATGAAACCTCAGTGAACTCGGGGACATTAATAGCTACGGCTTGGCAGATCCTGAATCCTAAATAACATGGCTCTATCTCTTATATTCTGTGACTTTACGGAGAACCTGTCGATGGAGCCTCAGTGAACTCAGAGACTATAAGAGGTATGGGTTAAAGGAACCTAGATACTAAATATCATGGCTCTATCTCTTAAAGTATCTATGTTCACTGAGAACCTATCAATGGAACCTCAGTGTAGTCATAGACTATGGGTTAAGTGAGCCTAGATGCGAAATTTCTAGCTCTTACAGCCTCTGAGTTTACTGAGATCGTATCGAAGCTCCGTAAACTCAGAGACTCCAAGAGCTGTGGCCTTAAAGAGCCTAGATCTCTTATTGACTCTGAGTTCACTGAGATTGTATCGCTGGAATCTTCGTAAACTCAGAGACTCCAAGAGCTGTGGCTTATGAGAACCTGGATTCTAAATATCAAGGCTCTACCTGCAATAGACTCTAGGTTTACAGAGATCCATCGATAAGATATCTAGTATGTGCGGTCTCTAAGCCCGTTCCTCTTTTGCTTCCGTCCAGGCCAATGTCTGAACTTCAACTGCGCCTGGGTTCTGGTGCTGATGCTGCGGCATTCGCTGACCTATCTGCGTTCGCGTGGCCTGTCCTCGTTTCTGCCGCTGGATCATCATGTCTATCTGCACAAGCTGACGGGCATAACCATCTCGGTGCTGAGTCTGGTGCACACGATAATGCATCTGTTCAACTTCTCCATCATTGTGATCAATGATCCGCAGATAAATGCCGGCCATTACACCATCGGCGAGTGGCTGCTAACGGATCGTCCGGGTCTGTTTGGCCTGATACCGGGCTGTGCCAATCCGACGGGCATCGCTCTGCTGGCCATTTTGATTGTGATGTTCGTGTGCTCGCAGCCATTTGTGCGGCGCAAGGGCAGCTTTGAGGTGTTCTATTGGACGCATCTGTTGTACGTGCCCTTCTGGATATTGACGCTCTTCCACGGGCCCAACTTCTGGAAGTGGTTCATGCTGCCCGGCCTGGTCTACATTGTGGAGCGTGTGCTGCGCTTTGTCTGGATGCGCGGCGAGCACGGCAAGACGTACATCAGCTCCGGCCTGTTGCTGCCCTCCAAGGTCATCCATTTGGTGATCAAGCGACCCTTCAACTTTAACTTTCGACCCGGCGACTATGTCTTTGTGAATATACCCGCCATTGCCAATTACGAGTGGCATCCGTTTACCATCAGCTCGGCGCCAGAGCAGGAGGATTACATGTGGCTTCACATACGCACCGTTGGCGAGTGGACGAATCGCCTCTATCGTTATTTCGAGCGCGAGCAGCAGAAGCTGCACCAGGGCGAGCTCAATCAGCATATGCACGCCATACCCACGCCCAGTTTCATGCTGCTGAACGAGGCGCGCAATCCGGCGCTAGCCGAGAAGTCCAGGCCCACGACGACACCGCAAACGGATTTCCTAGCACGCAATCTGGCGGGCAGCAGCAGCCGGGTGGAGCAGCTGCCACCGGAGCGACCGCCACGACAGCATCGCAAGCTGACGGCAGCAGCTGCCGCCGCGTTAGATGCGCCTGCTGCTCCGACGGGCGTGAATCGCATTAGGAGCATCAAGAAAACGCTGCAGCGCACCTTTTCGCGCAAGGAGTCCGCCGAGCCGAAGAGCAAGCCCAGCAGCCAGGCGATGGGCATAGCCAATGGCGCCTTTGTGGGTGATGGCAATGAGCGCGACGATTTGAGCCTCAAGCAGCGGCCGCTCGAGAAGAGCATCTCGCTGCCGGACATCAGCATGAAGAGCAAGAAGCGCAGCCGGCTTAAGGCGTAAGTTTCATCGTAGACTGGCACAAAGTGGGTTTTATATATCTAGCATCCATTGGAAATGGGTAAACCTTGATCAGGACGACAAGCCGCAACGATCTAGCCATGTTTGTGTGTCCATCTGCATATATCATAGACTACAGAGAACATAAGCGCTTCCATTGTCCGCTTAGCTTAAGTTTATACCAAATTTATCGATAACTTGAGCCGTTTTCTTAAAATCGATAATAATCGATATCGAAATAGGGTCTTCTTAGTATATACCGAAGCTTATAAGGGATAAGGCTTAGCTGATCCCAGTTCCTCAATACCATGACACTATTTCTTGCTTTTCTTCTCAAAATTATCGATAACTCGAGCCGTAGGGGTTCCGATTGTCCGCGTAGTTCCAAATCGATAACCTGAGCTGTTTCCTTGAAATCGATGTCGAAATATCTTACATGGATTACTAACGATATTCCTTGCAGCCTGCGCTCCTTGGGGCGCTCCGAATCGGAGCGTGCCTTTGACGATAGACGCCTGCGACGCGCCCGCAACAGCAGCGTGGGCCTGGCCTATCTGAGTCCGCAGAACAAGTCGCTGGCGCAGAGCTTCCGCTACATGCGCAACAAGCCCACCATTATAGCCTTCAAGACGCCCAGCCTGGAGCTGAGCGAGTCGCAGCAGACGACGGCCGAGGGTAATGGCATCTTGGAAGCCAGCAGCGCTGCGGAGCAGGGTCGTCTCAGCCGGGCGGAGAGCGGCGCCGACAAGCAGCAGCAGCAGCAGCTGATGCGGCTCAGTCTGGCCACGGAGGACAAACCGCTCGAGGTGCGTACCAAAACAAAAACAAAAACACCTAAACTAACCTTCAAGCTTAAGCTGCAAATCCCAATGCTAATCCTTAACCATTGCTCTCCAAGGATAACACATACACGGGCACGGGCACGGGCAGCAGAAAGTCGCGCTTGCGTCGTCCCACATTTCTGCGCACATTGTCCACATCCTTAACAAATCGTGGCACGGGCGGCGGCGGCAGCGGTGGCAGCTCCACAACTAACAGCGGTAGCAAGGTCACACTCGATGCGGGCGTCATGGAGGTTCGGGTCACAACACACACACACACACACACACTAGAGCCCTGCTGCGATTAATTCATTTAAATTAAACTCAGATACTCAGTTAACTCAACTTGTCGAGCAAATGATTCATACAAACGATGTTCGATACACGTTCGATCAGCTCGAACTCATACTTTCGACTGAACGGTACTTTAGACCGAGCCGCCAGGCAACTCGAACAGTTCGAGTCATACGATAAATTTATTGAAGTTAAACTCGGATAGTCAAAACAGACAGACCTAAACTATCGAACATGGAGCTAAGCAGAGTTCGACAAAATGATTTATATAAATGATATTCGAACTTGTTCGAGTCAGCAACATGTTCGAGCGAACCGGTTCGAGCTTTCAATTAAGTTCGAGTCTCGACTCGCTCGACCGCAATAATTGTTCGACTATCCGACACGCTTTTGGATTGACTCGTTGCAGGGCTCAGACAGACACTCATCCCCACACGCACACCGCGACTAACCCGAGCTAACGCCTTGTCCTTTTGCAGATCTTCATAGATGGGCCTTATGGCGCACCCTCGAGCCACATCTTTGGGGCACAGCATGCGGTGCTCATTGGCACAGGGATTGGCGTTACGCCCTTTGCGTCCATTTTACAGTCGATAATGCATCGGTATTGGAAGGCACGGCACAGCTGTCCGCGCTGCCAGTTCGAGTGGGCCAGCGAGATACCCAAGTCTGTGATGAATCTGCGCAAGGTGGACTTTTTCTGGATCAATCGCGATCAGCGCTCGTTCGAGTGGTTCGTCAATCTGCTCTCCCAGCTGGAGATTGAGCAGGCCGAGCTGGGCGGCGCCATGGAACGGTACGTTGAACCAAGCAAGTCCCTAATCCTAGCTAATGGCTGTGTGTGGTGTTCCTTCCGCTAGCTTCCTGGACATGCACATGTACATCACCAGCGCGCTGCAGCGCACGGACATGAAGGCGGTGGGTTTGCAGCTGGCGCTAGATCTGCTGCACGAGAAGGTAATAAAGCTAAGTCCGATTTGGTGTCCACTCATCTTCCATATTTCCGTGTTGCAGGGCAAACGTGATCTTATAACCGGCCTGAAGACGCGCACCAATGCCGGCCGACCCAACTGGGACAAGGTCTTCAAGCAGCTGCAGGCACAGCAGAAGGGCAAGGTGACCGTATTCTATTGCGGACCGCCGCAGCTGGCCAAGACGCTGCGCGTCAAGTGTGACCAATACGGATTCGCCTTTCGTAAGGAGTGCTTTTGAGTTGGCCAACATTTCCATTCCCCCATCCCTACAACCCTTCCTTCATTCCTCACCGGTTCGCCCCTCACTGTTTCACGTTCTCAGCTCATGTCATTGTCAACTGGTTTTTGGGTTTTTTTTCGATATAGTTTTCTATTTTCTATATATTTATTCGTCATGTGTTTTGTTGCCTCATTCGCTATGCGTGTGTCCCAAGCTTGTAAATATCTCTACGTATATGCATTATAATAATAATAATAAAAACAAAAAACAACAATTTGTTACACTAAATGTTGCGTCCAATATGTGTAGGCTAGGCCGTGATACTTGTATCATATCATAAAAAGTAAATATCAGTGCTCGCTGCGGTTCCAAAAGTATATCCAATTTCGAAAACAAATATGAAAATCCAATTCTCAAGGTATAAAGATTAGTTAACTTAGTTGAAAATCCCATACTCAAGGTATAAAGATTAGTTAACTCATACAAAAATTATATTTCTGCGTCAGCTTGTTCCTATGGCAACTATATGATATAGTAGTCCGATTCTAAATGATCGATAGATAGAAGACTATATGATATAGTCGTATATTCGTACAGACTGAACTTGTTTAGAATATCTTTCAAAATCAAAAACTTCTTCATATAAGAACTTAACACTTAACCAAGTCTGTCGACATGTTAAAGTAAACCCATATTAAAAAGATTTTGATCATATATCGAATATCTCTTTTTGATTTTGTTAGGAACATATAGAATCTTCTAATAATAAAGTTTTGTTGGGATAGCTTGAACAACAAAAAAGTTGTTCACACAAGAAAAAAGTTTTTAACCAATAATTGAATAGTATTTTGTTAGGGGCCTATTCCCGGAATCATAAAATTAAGTTAGGATATCTTGAACACCAAATTTTGACAAATAGCTCCTATGTCAACTATATAGTATAGTTGTCCGATCTAACCTAGTACGACCTAAGTATAGCCAACTTCAGCAGACGAATCTAATCCAAGAAAAAGCTTCAAATTAAGGGTCATTCACATTTGTTAACAAAAATTTAGCATACGCTCTGCTAGAGTATTAAAAGAAATTGGAATTGGAATTGAAAATTGGAATATGCTAAATAGAATTAGGTTCATAAATTTTGAAAAATGCTAAATTTGAAGCCTTGGTGCACTTACCGAGCGATCACTGTATTAGTCCGCAATGTGCTGTCCCATTTTAACTAGCTTTAAATCTGAATGCTGAATTCCTAAATGCACCTTTTGCAGGTGGTTCCGAGTTCTACATCTGAAGCGCCAACGAGACGCCGCGTCTTTATTCCGTACACACGTACACACGAACACACGCACACGCACGCACAACCAACAACACACATCGACATGAATAAATGTATTGGCAAAGAAATTGTCAGCTCAATGCCTCAGCCAGGTGGAAAAGTTAATGGTGCTGGGCCTGGACTTGCGCTCTATGGTAATTGTCTCGTCCTCAATGTTGTCAACATTATAGAATTCGCGCAGCTCGGCAATGGCCGTCTCCTCGATTTGGGTATGGACCAGAGATTTGTTGCGCATGCGCTCGTAGCTCTCTCGTTGGCGACGCTCATCGGCCACGATCTGGGAGAAACTGTTGCCCGGCTCTGATCCACGCATCATATTGGCAAAGGAGGTGGGATCCGAGCTGCTGCCCGTCGCAGCTGTTGGTGAGCTAAAGGGCTCGCCATATGCTGGGGGCGATGTGCCGGTTACGCCCCACGCATTCGGCACGGCGACGGGCGTGCTCGGCTCCAGCGGCTGAACTGAGCTTTGGGCGCGCCAGCTCTGCTGCTGCTGCGATTCAGAGGATAGACGCTTGCGCTGTTTCTGGGACAGCTTTTGGGCTTGTGGCAACAGCGTGCTCAGATCCAGATTATAGCTTTTGCTCAATGGCGTGCTGCACTCCGTGGGACTGACGGCTGGCAGCGGGGGCGTTGATTCCTTTACTGGCGGAGCACGTGGCGATATTGCGACCAAGTCCGGCGAGGGCTGCTCCTCCTGCTTGAGCACATTGTTGACTTTCAGCGCCGTCTCGGCCAGTTTGCGTTTCTGCTCCTTTTTGTCCACAACGCGCGACCAGTTGGCGGTCTCAGCTGCAGCAGCTGCAGCTGCTGTTTTCGGCGATGCTTCGGCATCGGATGCACTTATGCTCAGCGTACGCAGCATTCGGGATATGGCCTGCTGCTCATAGTGCCGCGCATCCTGCTTGTTGTGCAGCTCCTTCTGCTTGTGCTTGGCAACCTCCTTCAGCTTGGCATCCTAGGCAAGGCAAAGCATCAAGTTACAATTTGAATATAGATATAAGTAAAGCTCTGCATGGTTTCAGCTCAAGCTGACTCAATGCAGGGCTCTAGAAGGTAGACGAACCGCATCCATTCGATAATCCAAATCAACTTCGCTGCCGTCCACAAAGCTGAGCAGCAGCTCATCCTCAATGGCCTCGGAGAAGGGCGTTATCTGGCGATATTCGTAGACCGTCTGAAACATCTTGCGGTAGTGCTCGTTGAGGCGCTGCAAGGTGCTCGATTCGCACTGCTCGATGCTCCGGTAGCAGAGCACCCGGGCCAGATTCTGGCAGATGAAATCCATGCAACCCTGCTGCAGCAGTTTGCAATTATACATGGCCGCAAAGTCGAGCATCTCGCCGCACTTGCGTATGCTGATCTTGTCCAGAATCAGGGATTCGCAGACGTTCTGCAGCGATTCAATAAAGTATTGATCGCACAGCGTTATCATATTGTATAGAAACGTTTCCGTATAGTCTTGCCGGCAAAATGCCTCAGTGTCCAGGCTATACAGATAGTCCAGCACGGGCTCCATATACTCAACGGGCACGCTATCAAAGTTGACCGTGCTACGCTCCGCCCACGAGTGCATAAACATCATCTCAAAATACTCCAGACGCGCCACCAGAACGCACTTGTGCGCCTCCAGCACTTGCCCATCCTCGCAAACGATGCGTATGTCGTAGAGCTCCGGATGATGGGAGCGCTGCAGACGACCAAAACGCTGCTTGACGCGCAGCGGCAACTGTTGCTCCGTAATGTAACTGCAAAAGGAATGATCAGAATGAATGTAAGATTTGACAAATAAACTGTTCAACGCACCTTTGCACATATTTTGCCAGCTCGTGTAGCTGAAATTTCTCCAGATGCGTGTGAAACATTTCACAGACGCGGCTGCGCTGCGCCGGACTCTTCGGACCTAGACTCTGTTGCATGCAGTCGATATCTGGCAAGGAAAAGGAAAGACTATTAAATCAGAGAAGGGATACGGGTTGGTGAGCTGCCGCATTACCATCCTCTGTGGGCCAGTAGTTGGTGTAAATGTGCTTGAGCACCAGCTCAAACATTTTGCACGTCAGGTTCTCGAAATTTAAGTAGATATCCTTGTCCAGATAGCAGAGCACCAGCTCGCGCAGGCCCGGCGCACGGCTAAAGACAATAAACTTGTGCGCCGCAAAGTTTTCGCCATCCACATGAAATACTATGTCATGGACGGCATCCGCTTCGCTGGTGTCGTGGTAGAGCTTCTTGAAGTTGTGCTCGCGGCGCGGCAGTGCGGGCTTGCGAAAGTACTTGAGATGCGATTCCTGGAGCACGGCAAAAGAGGCGAAACTCTCGTCGCAGACAATGTCCACGGCGCGATCGATGTTCGGCACACGCTGCAAATCGATGCGGACATAGTGCTCCCTTGAGATTTCCGTGCGATGCTGATCGTTGTTCTGCCAGATGTCCTTGTTGGCCTTGGGCTTCTCCTGTGCACCCGACGGCAAAGCCAATTGATTGCACTTGCCGCGATAGACGCAGCCATCCATGGAGAGCACCAGCACCTGGTTGCACTTGTAGAGTATGCGCTTGATTGCGGGCAATCGTATGGGCGCAAAATTGCATCTGTAAGGGATAAGCGGGTTAGGCGTTGAAGGCAGGAATCGAATAGACTGTGCACATACCTGTAGAACTGTTGCGTATTCTCGTACCAGAGGAAGACCACATTCGTCTCGGTCAACATCATCAACTTGAGCGCCGCAACGGAGCCTTTGACGGAGTTCTTCAGATTGCCGCCCATCACAGCGATGCTCTTGAGATCCTCATAGCTGGTCGAGATAAAAAATCAGATTGGTTTGGGTTAAGATATGGGAATGCACTCACTTGGGCGTCTTTAGGGTTCTGGGCTTGTCGGCATAGAAGAGCAGTATGAGCTTCTCCGCGGTGTAGACGACCGTGGCCGCATTGTTGGCCTCCACGAAGCGTATGACTGTGCGATCCGCCAGCTTCATCTGCAATTTGGGGGAGGCTTTAGTGCATGCTGCTTAGCAAACGGTAAACGCTACGTGCCAATACGGGCGCCACAATTGTCCTGGTATTGCAGCTAATGCCCAGCTGACCCTGATTGGCACCCCAAACATAGATACAGCGGCTGCTATACGCAATCGAATGGTGATCGCAGGCAATCACCCGCAACAGATCGCTGGCGCCCTTGTCGCGCAGCGCGACCACCTCCTTGAATGTGGTCAGATGCTCGCCGGCGTCACGCACGCCCAGCTGATGGGTATCGTTGATGCCGCAGGCATAGACCAGCGATCGATTGGTGAGCAGCAGCGAATGCTGTCGGGATACGCTGAGGGAAATGATGCGCTCGTCGTTGTGCTTGAGCGGCAGCTTGACACGTTTGGGCGCCGGCAGACTGTTCTCCTGACCAATGCCCAGGCGGCCGCCCTTGCCGTGACCCACGGCATAGAGATGACCGCGCTTGTCGCAGAACAGACTGTGATAGGCGCCCAGCGCCACGTGCTCCAGCCACAGATTCGATTTGCGAAAGAAATCCAAGGCCTGCGGTGTGAGTGTATTCTGCTCATTGCCAATGCCCAGATTATAGTTCTTATTGGAGCCCCAGACAAGCGCCTCATTGCTGCGTGAAAAAAGCCGGGTCAGGGATTAGGCTTTCCTCTGCTGTTCCTTGTACTCACTGCGATTCGGCGTTGCCATCCACATCACATTTCCGGCATATTGCCTGCAGCGGACAGCGCGTGTCCTCGTCCAGCAGTTCCAGGCTGGCGCCGTAGCGCAGCAGCAGCACGGCGCAGTCAATGCAGCCGTAGTACAGAGCCCGATGCAGCGGGCTGCTGCCGGACTCAGAGTCCGGCTCATTAATGGGGGCGCCATGGTTCAGCAGCCACTCTAGTATTCTGTAGCGTGCCACGGAAGCGCACATGTGCACGGCGGAACGGCCCAGATAATCCGTAATATTTGCAAAATTGGCACACGTCTTGGCTACAAATGCCGCCAGCGGCTGATCCTCAATGGAGCGTTTGGTGAGCGCCGCAGTGATGCAATTGCCATGCTGTACTTGGCGGCACTTGACGGTGCAGTCATAATCGTGATTCCTTAAAGCTGGCATGCGAAGCTTACAATTTAATTGCTAATAAATAAATGCCGCAACTTCCTCTTGTTAAAACCGTACTAACAAAATATTGTGAACTTGAATGAACTACTAGTTCGCAGTGAACTGATAGTTACTGTTATAAATACTAATATTGGGTTTGCTGGTATTTTTGCTTTTATGACATGCGTTCACACTGCACTCCACTTGTAGTTGTAGTTGTTGCGTGCACAGCATACAGAAGTTGCGCGCACTTGCTACGTAAGTTGAGGTGTTAATTTATTGATAAAATAACTGCAGTCGCATATTATGTAAATGGAACAGAACAAATAATCAACTCGCATCATACGGAAGTGGCTGCAATGCAGCATAAGTGATTAAATGTGCATCTGTGTGTTTCTGTGTGTGTGTGTGTGTGTGTGTGTGTGTGTGTGCAGGAGTGTGTTCCAAGCGGAAATACATTGAGATTGAGTCATAAACGCGTCATATCTGTGATATCAAAATACGTATTGTGTTGTCATAGGCATTAATTTGATTAATTCAATTAGTATGCAAAACAACAACAAACGATTTATAAGTATACATATGCAAACTGTTTGCAGCCACTGTAGTCGAAAATTGTTACTGCGTGTGTGTTAGTGTTGGTGTTGGTGCAGCTCGCTCATCTTTATTAATTAATTAATTACTTGACCTGTGCGGTCAGAATGTGCGCGTTAAAGGCCGAAGAATTGTTTGAAAATAATACATATATAGCATACATACATATTACAGACAGCAAAGCAATGGCATAGTTTGCCTTAAGTTCGTGTGCACGTAATACTTGTTTACATACACACGTATGTGTACATATAGATATGCTGCCAGTGCATTAAGTGCGCTTGTGTGTGTGTGTGTGTGCGCGTGTGTGTGAGCGAAGTTTCTCTCAGTAGCTGCTGCTCATTTCGTTTTAATTTCTTCTTTTTTTTTTTCGTTATTTACTTTTAGTTCACACAGATCAGGTTTTCCAGCCAAGTGTTGTCCTCGCTGCAGCTGCATTACATTACATTTCTTCGTCTCCCTTTTGAGCGTATTATTCTGAAAGGTGCGAGAGGAGAGAACAAGTGGCTGGGCACATTGAAAGCGAGAACTCATCCCCCGGAAATGCCAATAGAAAAAAAAACAACGACAAGCATAAGCATATAAAGCGCATGCATAAAGAAAGCAACTAAAGCGCAATGCGATCAAGTTGAAGAACATAACGAAAGCAGAAAACAACGCATAAGAAGCCGTATGCGAGAGCGAGAGGGAAGACAGTTTGGAGTGCAGAACTAAATCAATGCAGCTTTTTTGCACTGGAGCAGCCGCACACATACATACATACCCAAACACACACACACACACACAGACGCACACCTAATCTTTGGCACAAATTTCTGAATGGAATAATTATGTTGTGATGGGCTCGTGCTCGTGTACACGGCGACACTTTCTGTTGTCAACATGCTTCCTGCAAATGGTAAGTGTGACCATATGTCTGGCCTTTGCTTTCTTTTTTTTTTTTCATGTGCATGCAAACAATGCGTGGTATCTATCTATCTGTTTTTTTCTCCCCCAATTTACCCAATCGACAGATAACGATTATCGAACGCCAGGTATTCGATTTTCTCGGGTACATGTGGGCTCCCATATTGGTCAACTTCTTTCAAATACTGTTTATCATATTTGGCTTCTATGGCGCATATCATTTTAGAATCAAATACATCATAACCGTAAGTACCGCACCACCCCCTTCCCCCCTCCCCCTGCTGGCACCCCTTTTGAGATAAGAACTGTTTGATAACCCAAATTTTTCTTTATTTGGTCAGTATTTACTATGGAACTTTGTTTGGATCGGCTGGAATGCGTTTTTAATATGCTTCTATTTGAATGTCGGCAGCCTGGATAGGGTGAGTAATTGGTGTCAACTGGAAAGCGTGATTGGGCAAACAGGAAAGGGCGCAACATGACCAAAATATAAATAATAATAAGAGCCTGCCTATTATTATCATACAGAATGTGTTCTATAGATATTGTATACGAAAATCCCACTGAAATTCCCAACAAGTTAAAGCTTCAAAAGGGGGTTAAACTCGATAATAGCTACTCAAGTCTGGATAAGTCTGGGATGGGCGCAACATGACCAAAATGAAAATAACATTAAGAGCCAAACTTTCATAATCTAGTCAAATGTATTCTATAGATATTGTATACGAAACTCGCACTGAAATTCCCAACAAGTTAAAGCTTTGAAAGGGTTTCAAGAGCGTGAGCAATTCCGGAAGTGAAAATCAACTATGTAGAAGTCTGGCTGGTTCTTGAAATACATATAAAACATAATTATATATAAAATATAATATTCACCATATTCCGTCAATGTACACGTAATTTGCAATCTACTTTCAACGCGTTTAGCACCTTTAACTGATAATAAGTTAATCTTATCTGAGCTATGAAAATCGATGCCAACAAATTGATATTTTCCATGATCTGGTTCGCTTTACAGGATAGCGATCTGCTCAATATGGGCACTGGCAGCGTTTCCTGGTTCGAGGCGAACGGCTATGGCTGCAAGCCCACCTACAATATCACCTCGGACGATCCGTATCGGCCATTGCGTCCGGAACGCGTCGATGATTGTCTATTGGACTACCCGCTCGTCGAGGTCATACACTCGGGCGCACAGTGCGCGCTGGCGGTGAGCATATATATATATATATATAGCTATATGCACAGTTGTGTTAATCAATTTAAAGTGCCACAAATTGTGCCCACTCTCACTAATGCCCTCTCTCCATCTCTGCTACCCCTTTAGCTGCTGGGCATACTTGGCGCGATTCTGATCAGCTGCATATTTCTCGATGAGGACGACAGATGTAAGTTGCTGTGAATTTCTATATGCGTACATACATACATACATATCGACTTATTGTGTTATCATTAAACACTATTTGGTAACTGGTTCTTAACAATTGTAGTTTGTCTTCAATTTAACCAACTTTGTGTATATATATCTATATAATATTGTATATTACGATAATTTCCCAACTTTTTGCCTTCCACGCGTTGTAACAAAATTAAGCCCGAATGTTTGTAAACGCAAAGACTATCATGTTTATATATTGTATTGTTAAACTATAATATTTATTTATCATATAAAAAATGTGCTGTGTTATATGAATTTCGATGCTTTGATATATACAAAAAACCCGCCCGGAATGCCGCCCGTGTCTATTGATTAACCATGCGCCAAGAGAATGTTTCTACATATATATATATATATATATAAAATGAAATACGAAAAAAAACCATATACATGTATGCCACATATATACCATATATCATATACATTACATAAACATATGCTCGTAAACGTAATCCATGTTATTTATGTCATAACAACAATTTATACAAAAGAAAGAGATATTGTATTTGCTTATATGGCTGTTAAAATGTGCACACACACACACACACACATATTATATATATATTATTATAATGTTAAAGCATCTTGAACAATTTCTGGTTTACAGTCGATTTCATGAACGGCGACGCGAAGAGTCCACAGCACACCGTCGTCCATCCAATGTACGTGAGCTATACAAGTATACCAACAACATCCGCAAGCGCCACAATGCAATCAAATAAACAGACGCAGACGCAAACGCAGTCGCAGTCGCAGCAGCAACAGCAACAATATTCACTGCAATTCTATCATCAACACAGACACAAATCGAGCAACCACAACTACAACAACAACAACAACTACAACAATAGCAACAATAACACACTCAACCAGCCACAGCCACAGCCACAGCCAGACACAGCAAATAACCCACATTTAACCCACACAAATGGCAGCAACAAGTCGCAGACTCGCCACCAGCCACATCCTCAACAGCCGCCACCCAATGAGTGCCAGCAGCGGCGGCGTCTCTATCAGAGCAGATCGCCCGCCTTGAACTCTGTCAGTCCCATGTCCGTTTCTGCACAGACGACGCCCTCGCTGTCGTACGCCTCGCTGCAGAACTCGAATCCGCAGCTGAGCAACAGCAACTATAGCATCTTCCATGCTGCTGTCGATAATTCGGGCAGCGGTCATTTTGCGCGCATCCATCACAAGCCGAAGGCGCCCAAATCTCTGCCAGATGTAAAGCATACACAGCTGGCTTTGGCGCGCTTGTCGCGCAATCTGGAGGAGGATGAGGATAGCTTTTCGCTGCCGCATTTGTCGCCCGATGGCGTCAGTTATGTGCCCTTCCAGAGTCCCACGCCCGAGAATAATAACTTGGCCTTTGGCTCCGTTCAAGAGCCACAAATCCCGTCTAGTCCCAATAACAATCATTATCCTGCATATGAACAGCATGGCCTGTTGGGCTATTCGCCCAAGTTGCTGCGCGGCGTGCCACGCCCCACTCAGATAGCGTTGCCCACGGTGCCCGTGCACAATTGTGGCCATGTGGAGCCGCCGCTGGAGACGGCATTGTCGCTGTCGTTGTCACCGCCGCCGCCGCCGGCGCCGCGTCCGCACATTTTCCAGCCGCGTCTGGGTCAGGCGCCCTATCCGGATCTCTCGCCCGAAATAGCCGAGAAATATGCCATGCCCACACAGCATGTGCCTGCCGCCGGCTCGCCCATGGTGCGACGCAGCCAGCGTCGACCACGTCCGCATCCGGCACCGGCGAATTTCTGCGATCAAATACGCGACACTCCGCCCGGCTACATGGTGCGCACCCACAGCGACGATCAGCTGGAGGAGCAGCTTCAGCTGCAGCAGCAGCAGCAGGCGGCGCCGCATGTAAATCGTCGCAGCGGCCGCAAGGCTCGCCCGCGCTCCTTCTGCAACTCGATTGTGGGCACCCAGGCCTAGCTGGTACCAATTCCAACAGATCCTCAATGCTGCATTCCACTTTATTAGTGACCAAATCTTATAGACTTTTAGAGATTCTCCAGCGGCGGCTGCTGCTCACGCGATCCGCAAACCTTATTTGTTGCCGAACCGAAGCTGAAGCTCTCCTCGTCTCTCTCCCGCTCTCTGTCTCACACCAACTCTCTTTGACTCAAGTAGGTCCAGCTTATATATAAACTCTCTCTCTCTCTCTCTCTCTCTCTCTCTCTGTCTGACTCTCTTAATATATCTAT